CATTCCCCAAAAACTTTGACTAGGAAACCGAGAAAAAGGCTTGGAGCGTGTCCACGTCAACTTCCAAGCTCTCTACTGCAACACATAAACTGCCAGTTGAACGAGTACGGAGATATTCCGTCGATGCCGACACGCTTCCCGATTCTCAATCGAGTCTCGTCCCGCGCCTCATCTAATTTTTCTCCGCTCTAATGGTTCCTCTGCTGTTTCGCTGTAAACGAATGATCACCCTACTAAGCAGCTACATTTGTTTTAGGCGAATATTGAATAGGCCAGTCCCGGCATGGAGAAATGCATGGTTTCTAGACACTCCGCTCGTGGTCTCCATCACTATGGCATCAAATTTCAGAACAACAGAAACCCGATTTCCCAAACAGAACACAATAATGGTTATCATGGTTACCGCACATGGACGCTACACAACATAATAGAACAAACACTCTATAATTCGGTCTGAAACAATGTTTATTGTTTCATTTGGGAGTAGGCGGAACAATACAAGTCTACAAGATACTATCTAACTTCGAGAGTGAAGGGTATTTGAACTCATATGCCATCATCGAAGAACTCTGAGTCTGACCGGTATTACATAGCCAAATGTGGCTGTTCGTATCAAAAATTAAGCAACTTCCTCCTTATAGACTCCCATTACAACCTCAAAAAACCCTGCCTTCATCTCTTGTTGAAGACCCTGTGATCGCTACCATTCACTACACGAGCAAATGCCCATGCATGTTAGAAACCTACGAAAAAACGACTTGAATACCAAACTGCCGATTAATAATTGATCATGACAGTGTGGATGAAAGACTCGAGGGGCACGGTATGCGATATTGAGATGATCGTTGGGCCAGGACGGTTACTGACTGAATTCCCAGGGACGTCAAACGAACATCAAGAGGCCGAAAACGTGGTGGTCAGTTTTCTTCAAGTAAACTCTAAACGGAATGAATGCTATGCCTCGGGCCCGTCGATAGAGGATGATCCGCTGGACTACCTTGGCTCGCGACAGGGACGAATGGAGACCTTATTGGAGCCCTACTGAACTGTATCGCGTACTCTTAAAGCTTACTAATTCCTGTGTATTGAAATTAAGCATCCCAATGTTGATTTTCTTGAAAGGATCCAATCTGAGTTTTGTACGCATCGCAGAATATTCTTCTAAATAACTACAACGAAAAGTTAATCCTCGAAGATCATTGTTTGGAATTGCCATCGCTTTATAGGCAACCCCAAAGAATGTCTTCAAAACAAAAAACTTCCCGAACGAGTAATTCTGCCTTCCCCTATTTCACCTCTATAGGGTGAACAATCGGCTAAAAACACCATCGCTAGCTACAAAATTTCAGTATTGTTTTTCTTAGATATAGTATTAACCCTTGATCAATCGCACTGAACCTAATGTCAAGCTAATTACATCATTAATGCTCTGTGACAATTCATAGGGTTCTACATCTCAATTGGATGAAACTCAATTATTTTCAATATATTCAATAAAAAATCGCCTACCACCAACTCAGAACTTCTAGGAACGGCTAACTGATGCAGTTCAAACACGTTTCCAAAGAACTGCCCTCACTACGCCATTTCGAGGCATGCCACCTTATTGTCGTTTTTATAAGGTATACGGTAGGATTATAAGTTCGATTGATTACCGTTTGACGCAGTTTCAGGGTAACTTTAGTAGTGATTCTAAATGAAAATAGTTCGGGAAGCTGAAAGATTTTGATGGTACTGAGTACTTATTACTGCAGTAGCTGCAACAACTGATCGCAAAACTTCCATGAAGCCTCGAAAACTTCCATGAAGTTCATCGGTGAACCACCGAATCGATAACTTCCCAATGAATTCTTAGCCCTTGCCAAATTCTCTTTTCCTCCTCGATGTCAGTTTTATCAAGAGAGCAATCGACAAGTAGTCGGTAGTGAGGTATAACGCAGCGCCCTTACCAGCCTTTCGGATGCACCCACAGAAGAAACCCGATAAATCAGCTCAGCAACCAGACTGCACTGGTCAAGAACTTTGTTTTGGAATTCTATAGGAGTAGATCATTGCTTTGAAGGTGGGGATAGGAGCACTCCTTTGCATGAACGGGAAGGATGTCATTGCTTTTCATGGTGACAAAAAGTGTGACATTGGATTCCAGTGATGATTCCCATAGTTGGAGAGGCCGATTGGAAAAAAGAGAGCCTCGCCGTGCAGGGCATGATGGCGCCATTCAGTCGCCTATAAGGACGGAAACGGCCTCGGTTTGTCGCCCCAAAGATGAGCGATTAGCTTTACTTTAGAAGCCGGGGTTCCTCTTGGTAATAAGACACTAACAGTAAAAGCAACAGCTGTAAGCAACATTCTTTCGAGTAAAGCTCCCAATACTGTATGTCGCACTTTGCATGAACAGGCGTCCATTCCCCCACCCAGCACGACGACGTCTAGGTCGCGCGTGACGTCACGCGACTATCGCATGTGCGGCTATGCATTCGAAATCGAGCGAGTGTAATCAGCCTGGGTCTCATTTGTCCACTATTCCGGTATATGTTGGACGACATGAATTCGTCATTGGGGTGACGTTTTTGGGACCAGAATCCTAGCGTTTACCCAAAACAACTGATGGAAAGCCAAATCATTTGGTTCTTCAAGAATTGATTGGAGACCGGATTCCGGGCTGGTGCGACTATCTGAGGTCGGAAAGCTTTTCTCAACCTTTTACTTATTTGCTGAACATTGACTAAAGTAAATAAGATCAACAGCAGTTAGGAAACTAGAAGGGCTCGAGTATTAGCTCGTAGTATCCTCTAGAGGACCCTATTCACACTTCCACCCAATACAATGCCAGTGCTGATGAAGTGAAGAACACGACCCCAGCAATACCATCTGCATTGAGCGACTCCAGCCGCAGCGACTGCAATGGTGCATTCTAGCCAGAGTTCGATACATTGCACATCGCTGAATTTTCTCATGGAAGGTCTCGTTCATCGAGCCCTGCGATCCAGGGACTCACCAAGACAAGTTGTGGGACGTTTTTCAAAAAAATAGTTTCAGTCCAGCATTGTGTCACCAGACAGAAACAACTTTGCGGTTGAAACAGATTCGGCTCAGCGAACGGGAGCTATCATCATAGACAGTTTAAGGGCAGGCATGGTACCAAACAACTACTTCAGGCGAAACAGGACCATTTATCAAGTAAGAAGTGCAACTGTGATACGTTCGTTAGCACTTAATGATCGTCGCTCCAAAACCTTACCTAGCCGTATGCTTATCGATCTACCGGTATTCATGGCAACTACCTACACCATGTTACCAGAAAGTACTATTGAGCTTAAATATCCAACTGCGAGGTGAACAGATCGAAAGGAACTGCTGAATGATGATACCTCGTCATAGCAGATTGTCTGCAGTAATGATTTGTAATCAAAGGAACTGCTTTCTCGGAAAGTGCCAGAGAGTACTAGAAAATTCTCACTACCCTTTTAGAAAAGCATAATATAACCACTGTTACTTTACTAAATGGAGTGATTGAACATGATAATCTCAGTTTTTCATGAATAACTAGACTCTGAACTTTGTCAATCAGCAAAATACGCTTTGACGAAAAAATGTGTTCGACTTATCATTACCACCTCTTTTCCCTGTTGATGGAGCTTAAGTCTTTGCTCCATCAACAGGACAAAGCAGTAGCAATTTTCCTGCCTGTGCTCCTCGCTCTACAGAGCTACTCCTTTAGAGCTCCACTTCAAAGAGAAAAAATGAACAACAAACCAATGTTTCCTCTAAATCTGGTCACCTGTGAGCACTTGCAATCAATTCGTTAGGGACAATTACCACCTCATTCACATTCCCTTCCTGGTGCTCCCATCTAGTGCTCTCTTCACCCATCCTGCCAGTCTTGATTCATATTCAGGTTATACAGTAAAAACCAATGCTTTCAAAACCTAACCAACAACGAGACCTCGTATCCAAAAAAATCTTGCCGGTAATCGCTGTTTCCGGTCTGTCAGTCAATGCCAAACAATGTTTGGACGGCGGCGTCGGCATGTCGGTGAACGTCAAACAAATCCAGAAAACGGGCTGGGGTCGAGCGAGGTCAAGTAAGCAGCGACGACCTCTCCCCAGGAACCACAACAAACAAATATGACAGGAAGCAATGTCGTCTCAAGAACAAAGAACCGTTGATCGTGATATCCCATACCCGTAGAGTTAGCCCCTCTCTTCTTCTCTGTGAAGTACCGAAGGGTGGGTGACTGGGAGAGGCCGATTTTATACATCCTAACAATTTCACAAAAATGAATGCGCAGCTCTATTGAAAGAATCTAGTGAGGCAAACTGAAGTGGGAATCTACAGAACAGTTTCAATATTCGGAAAAATCAAGTTCCGATTATAAAATGCGAGGAGCCCACTTGCCTTTGGCTTAGCTTCAAAGTTATATCCGGGATGAGCTACGAAAAGACACGTAATAGTTCATTATGCCTGTAGATGAGAGAATCCCAACACTGTTCTTTGTGAATCAAATTAAAAAAAGGAAACTTAGATATATTCAACTCTAAAAAACCTGAAAATGCGTTGCATACGAACCAACTGGAACAAACAGCTAGCAAGCGGTCGAATGCTCAAATTAGTTTAGAATTGTCAGAACAGATAACCTGGAACTGTAAAAATGGTCCCCAGCATTATTCCGTTTGTTCACTGGATCGTACACTCGTTCGGTTACCTTTTGGAAAACTTATATCGATTGTAAATATAGGATGGTTATGCTAATCGAAGACGCAAGTCAAAGAGCCTTCTGTCAGTTCACGCCAACGCCAATGATCCTATGAACAAACACTCTAAATGCCTTTAGTATGGCATTCAAAGCCATTCACCCTAAGTGAATGGCTTCGAATGCTACGGTGACTAATTGTATACTTCCCTTCTCTGTTAACGGCGACAATGAGCCAAAACGAGAAGAATACTCAAATTAAGAAATCTTTGCTCCTTACTCCTTACTATTAATATCAACGATCAACTATCTTTCAAAATTGGGGGATAACTTGAAAACTTTACGTAAAACTGTATAATGCTGGCCAGTACAAGATAATTGAATCAAGCAATACAAAAAACTCACAACCACTTCCATCACAGGGATACCACGTTTTGATGCAGTGACGTCGGACATGTCTTCTACCACCGAGGAAAAATCTGCAAATATTTATCTCTTCTGCGATCGATAACAACTAAGAAAAGTGAGATCAAGGAAAAGTGGTTCACAACATCATGACACAAATAGAAGACAAGAAGAGCGCTACGAAGATCTGCTGAATGCGTTCAAAGGATTAGGCCCTGCTCCATTCGAAAACAGGCCCACGCATTCGATTTCCATTCAGAATCTGAGAGCGTCTAATGCGTATTTGGCCTATCCGTGACTTGAAGATCCCCATGACACAGAGCGACATAATACAATATTTTGTTTGGCTGGAATGGATCCGATCCCAGCTTTACTTTGAATAATGTAGACGGTAGGGCGCCACTTTCATTCTTCCTCAGCCTTTCCCTCCTAGACTTTACTTTTGAAAAAGCATGTGATGTTCAATTATGCTATTTAAGGTCTTGCAAGCACCACATTGTCCTCAACTTTATCAAAATTCCAAGAAACAAAGGGAAAGAAGTGTTTCTGTGGAAATTTTGTTCCGATCCCAGCTTCACTTTGTATAATGTAGACGGTAGGACGCCACTTTCATTTTTCCTCAGCCTATAGAAAACCATTCATGGGCAGCAGTGGATTTCAGCACCATTTGCTTGATACCAAATGAATACAAGATTTTCCCTTTCGTTTAATGAGCTCGAAGATCTCGAATGTAAACATCGAATGAAGATAGAAAACACATACGCCTCAATATGTTCTGGTCATTCCGACGTAATTCTGAAGAACACCACGTAAGTAAAACGCTTTACCGGTTTGGCCATCACCATCCATTCAGCGTTTAAGTGAAATTGATTTGTTACCTTACACTGCTGAAGTAAAAAGAAGATATATAAGACCTAATTGGCTGTACAGGTCTTCAGAACATTCTTGCGCCTCTACAACGGGAACGGAAAACGAATACACGTGTCATACGAGAAAAATTAGAAAGCGACCTCAATTTTCGAATCCCTCTACTGCTATACTAACCATTCTGCACCAAAAAGAACTCCAATCTGGAAAAAGATCCAACCCGAAATAATCGAAGCATCGCTCTACTTCATGCCGATTATTGTCACAGTTCGCGATGCGACTGCGAACGTCACGAAAAAGAAGCTGGGCTGAGAGCAAAACCTTCGGCTTTGGACGAGATTTAAACATGCAGGCATGCTTTTGTGCACAGAAAAAGCATTAGAGCGATGCCCACAAAGCACTGGTACAAGTTCGAATCCCGTTCGAAACCAATGCTTTGTATTCAGCTCGGTATCTGTAATAATCGAGTGCCTATCAATCTATCAATCGCAATGTTTGTAAACAACCCCAAAAACCTCTATGTCGTCGCCGCCGTCTGTTTCCAAGCGAAGCAAAAAACCCTTCTTCAGTAATCCAGCTTCCGTCTCCTTTGCCGTCCCCTCACCACTCTTCACTAACTGACTGCACGACAACACAGTATCACACAATTGGCTGGTCCTCTTAAAAACGGAACCTGTTCCAGGGTCGCCCATTGTATTGTGTCTGCCGAGAGGATAGCTGTGTGCCTGATGTAATTTTGCCCATGTGCCCTTGCATTTTCCACTTCAAAGAGAAAACGGAAAACTTGCTCAGGATGTTCAAGCTCAAGGACGAAATAATTTATGGGCAGAAGTCGTTGAAAAAAACCTTTCTTACAAGTCAACTTACAAATTTATCATGATGCGCCGAAATTTCAACAAACCTCTACAATGCTGGTGGAAGCTTTATTAGGTACTTGGCTTTATGAGGCCACACAAGAAAAGAGCCATACAAATGGTCCCCCCTCCCCGGAATCATGGGAAAATATGAAATGATGTCCTGTCGTTGAATGGACACCGCTAAACGACTATATTTTTGCCCATAAAGGGCTCTGAGCATAGATATAATACACAGCCAGGAGCATGCTCTCCAATATGGCTGGATGTAAAGATCATTTAGCCTGAGAAGCGATCCGCTCGCTGCCATATTTCCCTGGCGGGCGTACGGATATGAGCTGCCTGAGATATCAAAAGAGTGGAGGCGCCCTGTTTAAGGAGGTACCTTTCAAGAAGGAAGCCCATCAAGTCCTTTCACAGTTTCATGTATCGTCTCTAACTTGCTGGTTTAATCTTCAATGTTTAAATCCTTCCTTACCTC